TTTGTACTCATTTTAAGAAAATTCCTGTTTGCTGTTCTCTAGAGGTGCAATAAACTTATACGGTGTCTAAATCACTTTACATTTCTGATAAGATCTTCTGGAGTGTACTGAATAGTCAGTCATGTTCAGTGATATATTTAGCCTTTTTTCAGAGAATTTCATAAATATTTTTTTATTTTTCGAAAAAATCAGTCCACCATAGCAGCATTCAGTAGCAATTCCAAATTAAATGCCATGCAATCGCCACTTTTGGCTTGTTCTAGTATGGTTTCATTACATGGAATTGGTTCTACAGATTCTTTGTCATCAGTTCACACGCCTATAACAAAGGTCAAATCTTCAATTCAAACTCCAGTCACTTCCTGTGTTTCGTCGTCGAGTTCACCTCAGAAAAAAATTGCCTCAACTATATCTACAAAACGTCGAAGTGCAAGACTGAGTGGAAAGAAAGTCTGCTCAACACTACGTGTTTTACAGGTATAGGATTTCACATTTTACTGTTACTTACTGTAAACGTTAACATAATTTATTTGCATTTTCCCATCGTTAAAAGTTAAATTTAGTTTTTTTTCCGGTAGTGCACAAAATCATTTCTTTTCAAAGCAGATAATCATTTGCAAATATGCTTTTATGGTTGAAAGTCAGATACTTTAAACATAAATTTTATATCAAAATTATGTCATGACGCTAAACAAATTCAAGTTTTGGATAGCTCAGTGGTAACGTCTCTGACTGTGAAGCTGGGTGACATGAGATCGAATCCGCCAGGGAGCACCAGTTCCCTCAAGATTACAGGTACATCTTGCTGACGAGTGCCAAGTAGCACGAAACCCGGGTCCAGGGTTTCCTGTTGACTACCTCCAACCACCATCTAATCTCAAGTTTTGGGTTATGGTTTTCCATCTAATCCACTTAGTCATTAAAGCAATGCACGACAACTATTTTGAAACTACGTATGGACTCATGCTCTCTGCCTTCGCTGTCTACATCTTTGTACAAATCAAACTATATATCTGTCTGTCTATTTAATATTTTACTGAATACATAGAATTTGGTACAATTGGGTATCAATAATATTGTGTGACAAATATTTTTATTTGGCTTGAGATATTACCTGACCTCTTAAACCGCAAAAGTTAATTTCCCTTTGTTAGACACTTCTTAAGTCTTTGGGCTGGAGGTTTAACCCACATAGCAGTATTAGGAGATCCCGTCTTATGATAGCCGATGATCAAAATTAGGTTCAAACGTCATTTGTTTCCTCAAGACCCTGGGACCCATGTTCACCGTAGGTTTGTTGTCAGTATCTTCCAATTATAGGTAAATTTTCCGTATTCAGTAACTCAGTTTATGAGTCCGACGCACGCTTTATGTCCGTTGATTTTCGTGAACAACATCCTCTCCACGTAAAGGCAGTAAATAAGACATCCCTGATAGAAACTATAAACGCATGGGTTTACAAAAGAATTTCTAGAGGGAAAGTAGACTCTCCTGCCGTTATCCTTACCTGGAGATTTACGAGCTTATCTGTTTTTAAAATTCTCAATCACAATGTATAGACGTGTATTATCGTACTCTCTGACTTTAAATTTTTATGAGAATGACAAGTTGTTAGTGTTTACAGATCTATCACAGATCAGTAATTAGTAAGCATACCAACTTGAATGATAAGCTCCCTCATTCTACCTAAAATTAAATTCCTGTTGTTATTTTGTTAATTATTAGGTGAAAAATATACAAAACAATAGTGATAATTCTTTCCTTTCTCCTCTCTCTACGGCACCTAGATCTGCTGTGGTAAGTTAATGTCAATTAAATATGCATTTGTCTACTGCAGAAACTTTATAACTCTTTAATGATTGGATTTAGACGTTACTCTATCGTCTTTTAGGTTAGATCTTGACATCCAAGGTTTGGTGTATGGGTTGTCCAATAAATTACTTGATCCAATTTTTCCTTTTGTATTAATTGTTTCGGTTGATGTATTTTTTAATGGCTGGTACTCTATATCAAGCCCAATTTATTCATTCTTCCGAAACCACATTTCGACCTTGTCACTTACTAACCCTGACTTTTTAAAATGATCGTATATCTGTTAGTTGCTTTCCCTATGCATTATGTGTTTGTAATTTATTTTTGTCTGAATGGGAATATTCAGTCACGTTTGACCAAAACAAGTTATCTCACTCGACATTTCGTTTCTTTGATTATCTGTCTGAACCAATGAGTGTATGAAATATGCATATTTAAAATTCATCCTCGTATTTGGCTTATTTTATTCCGTTATTCTATAACGTGAATGAAATCGATAGTTGTATACGATGGTTGGCGGCATGTATATTCCGAAAGCAATCAGCATACGATTTAACTGGAGTCACATATCGGGCCACTAAAATTTAAAATTATTTTCTAACAATCATAGACAGTTTCTCAACAAAATACTCATAATTCTGTCTATGAAACAGTGCATTTAAATTGTATTTTATAACCTGTATTCACATCAGGATAATCAAGTTACAACAAACCGATCTAAACAAAAAGGGTGTTTAGTTGATCAGATCAAAATTTTAGTAGTATTAGATCTTGCTATCCATCATTCATAATCGTTTTAGTTAATTAATATGCAAACTTTTATTCATACGTCCATAGTGGACTATTCTTAGACATCTTATTTGTAAAATTGTTTCTTGTTTTAAAAATATAGAAATCTTCACGTACTGTAAATAACACGCCGACATCATCTATGAAAAATAGAATACAGAGAGCTCCATTCCGTACTTGAATTTCATTTAAAGTATTTGGTTATGTATTCTCATTTGTACAAAATCATAATTATTTTTCATATTTACTCTTCATGATTGTGTATATACGCGTAAGTTAATCCATAAAACACTGTTAAATTGTTTACTTTATCTTTGTTTCTTTTCAAATTCACCATTAAATCTCTTTTGTTAGTATAGAATAAGGCTCACAGGTATTGCTTGGTTACATTTGGCTGTATCACTTTCAGCTTTTTAGTAGCACCCCACTATTTAAGCTGTGATAAGTATCAGGAAACAAAAATTGTCTAGACTATTTAAAATTGCTTAAAACATTTAGAGTAACATTGTATGTTGCAAAGTCACCCTATTTAACTAATAAGTCAGCTTACATTCTCTAATAGATAATAAATAGTCAGTCAAACATAAACAGAATTTCCATGATCTTCAAGTTCGATTCTGTGAATAATTGACGTTTCCTAAATACTTCCCCAGTGGGTTATGGACACTGACAGCTATATTAACATCAGTTGTAATAGTGTTACACAGCACGTAGATTTGTATATTTTAAGTGCCACAAGTAAAACTACACTACATACGATGCTGATATGGTATGGACTGAGATATATATGATAATCTGTGGCAGACGCATGACTCTCATAATAGACTGCACATATATACTTTAATCTCCTTATGACATCTGATCCATCTGGCATATCAAAAAGCCGTACTAAAGTTTGCGGAATGGTTTCCTGCATAAAATTTCAAATTATTTTACTTCAGCTTAACACAATGTATTTGCATTAAGAATTCATTACTTGGCATTCGTTGTCACTCTTCATCGCAAAAATCTTGTTTCCTTAGGTCCTTCGAACTAATTTTGGTGCATTACATTAAATTACTTGTGGTTTTGAAGAAGACTACGGTGATTATGTTTACAAAATATATATCATTTGACAGGAAATATATCAACGACCAACTCGCATTTGCGTGTAATTATCGTTTAGCTGGTATGCAACTTTGCTACTTGAAACCTTGTTTAATGAAGCTTTTAAATTGTAGTTTGATGGTTTCAAAGAAGTGTGCAGACTATAGACCCACACACTGACTGACAACCGTATGGCCAACCTTTATAATGGCTACAAAGGATGACGGCTTTGTGTATTTTAGGTACAGCGAGTAAATCTACACCGTATATCTCTGCAACATAGATTGAAAAGTTAGTGTTCAGTTACCCAAGAAGACTAGATTATATTTCATGTAGGTAGTCTTATTATCTTGATAATATATTTGAACAATTTAATTAGATTATCATTAGGTGCTTAAAATCTGCAATATTTCAGAATCGAAATTATAATTGGGGTCTACCATACTTATAGAATCAACCGTAGTCAAGGATTTTGTGCGAACAGAAGTTGTTACAGTGCAACAAAAATTCTGAAAACAAAGTTTAAAGAAATCTTATTAAAATGCGACACTTAAGTAACAAATGCAACAGAAGGCTTCGTTAGTCACAAAAAGAACAAGGTATCAACGGAGCTCTATATGGTTTGAATTTACAGTGGTTATTAGATGAAGTCAACACTGGGTAGTGGTAATTAGAACTAATTTCGGATTGTTTAAAAAACATAGATTCAGAAAACAGCAATGTGTTCAAAAAGGGGTTTTGTCAACTGAACAAAGGACGATTAGCAACCGTCTGCTTTTGAACTCAGAATTTTGGATTAGTGCTTGTTTTCTACATACCTTAGGAGTTCAGTGTGATGTGTTAACTAGATCCCAGGGGATCACTGCTTGGTACATTTCTTGCTCTTAAGCACAAGGTCTTAGAAACGTGTCCAAAAGATTCGGAGTTCTCCTACCGATCGGTTTGCTTCGGGGTATACACGTATTGGATACTCATTAAGCGATAAAATTAATAGTGTTTGTAAAATTCTGATTGAGTTCATGAACATGTTCGATGGACGACGGCAAATCTAACTGTACGTTAGTTTTTGATCATACTACAATATTGTGACTTCATCTTTACTCGAAAGTTTCTCTGTAGCGGATTTATTGGGACTTAGATACATCGTGGTCTGAAAAATTGTTTCATTTTTTTAGAAGAACCGTATTTTTCAGACTGGTCTTGTTTTGCTTCTTGATCGTTAGGATAGTATCCTGAAACAGATTATACACCTTGTTTGAATAGATTTATTTATAACTATTCCTCCTGGATGTTGAAATGAATAAGATCGTTTTCTCGGAAAAAATCCCATTTGTATTCAAAATAATAGACTGACAGGTTCATTTACACATGCATTACAACTCATTTAGAACCATAAATTTCCTAATAAGCATTGTTCAGTATATATTCTTCCAATGTATGGAGTGTCGTCCTTTGCCCCGTTGTCATCATCATCATGTTTTCGCTTTCTTCATCTTTCTGCCATAGATAAGCATCATTTAGATTGAAAAATGGATTATTATTTGTTTGAAATTGATATTCTTTCTCTTCAGGTAATTGATACGAATGCTTTTTAGCACATATATTATCATTCCTCTCTTTACCGTTTACTTGTAAATTTATTTTCATAGTATATGCATGTAACATCATATGTTTTAATTTATAATCCAAGTTAACATTATGCATTGTATAAACGTCATTCAGGTAAACGATATTAGGATGATCGAATGGACGACGAACGTAGGTGATATCACCAGCGATTGGATGACCGAGACCAATTGCGCAATGTACACGTAATTGATGACGACGACCAGTTTTAGGAATAAGAAGTACATGTGTGGCTGGTTCACCCATTAATTTGCCATAGTCCAAAACAATAACTGTTGTTAAAGATTCACGTGGTCTCTGAAATAAGATTACATACATTAGAAAGTAAAATGAAGATTTATGAATGTAGAAAGATGGAAACAGTGAACTACCTTACTTTTATTTCAAATGTAGTGTCATGCATCGTTCCTCAATCTTGGTGTTTCTCTTCAATTTTTCCACGCTTAACACCCTAGAAAAACAGCTCTCAACTAGATCCTAGAGGTCTAAATTCGTCACTGAGGGAAAATATATTCCAGTTTTTAGTGTACTGGCAACTTCACAGTCATAATCGTTGTGAAGCTTGGCGCAAATATGATTAAACCCAAGTCGTCAGACTACATTAGTTTGACGAGGTGAAATTGACAAGATGAATAGCAAGAGAATCGAATTATTGTAGTAGCAATGAAAATGAGAAAGACTAAGCTTTGAGGATACTGTTCGGAAAATAGGATGAAAAGACACGTATAGAAAAATATTGAAATGGAAAGTGAATGCATTTGTGCTTGACAATATAATTAAATACAAGCTACCAATATCAGAATTACCCAGTTGACGATAAGTGATTTTTATAATTAAATTTAATATACCTTTTATGGCTGTGTCATTTGATGAAGTCATTTTGAAACATGCTTCTTCCAAACAATGTAAAATGTATATGAGGAAAATGATGCTTATAAACCTTTTAAAACGACCTCTTGACTAATAGCGTAATCAATCAATTCATAATTCCAATACTGTTAAAGACTATTTACTTACATGACATTCTGGATGTGTAATAGGAACAATTATCTTTTGTTTGCGTCCAGTGTTTGGCCAAATATATCGAAATGAACCAATTGGCATTTGGATATGATGTACAAGCTTTGATTCATGTTTGACGAATGATGATGATAAATCTGAGTCACAAAATGACCCAACAAAACCCCAAACTATAGCTAAATAATACTTTTTGACTTCTCTTTTCTCAAATGCACGCCTGATCTGAACATAAAGCAATAGTGAAAAACACATATCAGATTGTGATATTTATTCTTAATATCACTGTTATAGATGTTGATGTGAGATCGATCAGTTGTCATTTTTCTGTTGGCTATACCATGGAAGTGTATTTATTCCTGTTAGTCTGAAAGTGTGATTATCGAGTCAAAGGAACAGTTATTTGAAGGCATTCGTGGATGATCATTTTGTAATTTCAGAATTATTAGTTCCGTACTATTTACGACACTAGTTAGTACCGAAAATCTGGAGTGACGCACTGTGGATTTTCTTAAGTCATTTTACTCGCGGCTCAACAGGATTGCTGGAGATGTGGATGAACACCACCAGCCTAGAGGGATAGATTGTTAAGAATATCGCACAACGGGAAATTGAGAATGTTGATTCTCGAAATGGGTACGATGATGAAATATTGTAAAATTATTTTTAACTCCTTATACCACTCAAAAAGCTTACTACTCTTTTGATCCGTGTTTCTTATTTGGTGGTACTAATGGAAAAATAATGTTCACATTATGACGAGTCATTTATTTGAACACATTAATATTGGTACAAAGGGGCACCGAACACATATGCGCCACACAATCTACTTGATTTGTTTGCGGGCTGTGATACTGCCCATGTACCTAGACCGAAGCAGGTGGTTTTCTTGGGGAGCCACACCCGGAGCCTTCGACCTAAAAGTCCGGTCCACAAGGCAGTGGAGCAACTTCAGGAGATGCAGTCCTATGGTAACCGGTGGCCAACAATTGGTTCGTACGCCATTTGTTCTCTCAGGATATTGAAGCCCATGTGCACCATTGGTTTGGGATCAGGGTTTTCTAACTCCCCTAAATGGACCCTCCGTGTCCAACCCAGTTAAAGCGCCAAACATTCGCTTATAGTCCTTTCAATTTCGTAAACAACACCCACGCCTCGATAAGGCAGTGAGTAGGACTTCCGTGGCAGTGGCTGTAAACGCGTGGCCATTTCAGAGCATTTTGAGAGGGAGAGCTGGTTCCCCCCACCCTCGGCCTTACCAGGGCATTTGGGGGCAGCGAGTCATACAGTATTTGATTTATGTTTGCCGAGTTCAAATCATATCAATTACCAGGGGAAATAAACTAACTTGTTTTATTTATTTGGATTATACATTTAAAGTTTACTCGGTTCTTAGAATGCAAATATTTTTGTCTAAACAGCAATTCCTTGAGCGTGGAAATGTGGTCTGTTGGTTTAAGAACCCCGCTATCAGTCAATGGATTCGAAGTTTGGGAATAAATTAGATGCAGGGAACTGAGTAGTGCCCCATAAACACGATAGAAGTCAAATTTACCACATAAACCTGCACATGGTCAGTAGGTTCAGTTAAACGAAGAAAATCTAAATTATTAATGGTGTACAGTTAATAACAAAATAGTTAACATGATAATAATTAATCAACAAAATCGTACCATACTTGCAACTTTTGTATCATAAGCGATGCATATTAAACCGCTTGTTGGACAATCGAGTCGATGGACAAAATGAAACATATTTTTCAGTTTCCAGTTAACATAGTGTGGACGGTTGTAGAACAACTACAGATAACAGGAAGACCGTTAGAATTATAAGTATGAAGTTATAAAACAAAAACATTAGCATCAATTCAGTTTTGAAGATGCTTGTGAATACTGAACTGCCCAGCGAGATACAAGTTAGTATACATAACATACTACTAATACTGTTGACCAATTTTTTAATTTCTATCTGATGTGAAACCATAGTGGAGATGAACACTTGAATGTAAGCAGAATATGTTACTATAAGGTTTGGCCAAATGAGTCCTTACACTAATAAAAAAACTCGAATGAACAAACATCATGAGTACATACAACCATTTTTACGCGAAAAACTGACAGTCAAGATAGTAAAATAAATGCACAGAAAGTAAACGACGTACAAGTAAATACAATAGTCATATTCCTAATTACTTTCAAAGAATAGTTCTTATTTCAGACAGCAGATAGCTGTAACAAATTATACTTTATTCATGGACTATGGAAATAGAAACTGCAATAGATTGTTACTATGTAACTTAAGAGATGCCAGCATAAATTTGGTTCTTCGATTGTTAGAATGGTGTACTTTTTAGTCTACTAGTCCCATATATATTGGCGCTCTCATGTACTAATATTCATGTGTTCAAATAAATAAATTGTCACCGATTTCCCATTCCTGTGCCTTTTTAAAAGCTAGTAATTTAAATCACTAAACATTTGTTTGAAATTACGGTTTCTTGTACTTGCGAATCAAATGGACTTGGCTGACTAGTAATTTAGGTAAACTTGACCATTAGGTGGCTAATTGAAACCTCGTTTTATCTATAACAATCAAAAAGCAACTTATTGTTTCTACTCGACCGCTCAAACTGAAGATGGAGCAGGACTGATACATGTAACTAAGTCAAGTGACTTAAGTAGCAAGCCACCGTTCTGCTGGTTTATGTACATCAATATATAGGATTATTATACTAACGACAACTAACGCACTAAAGTAGTTAAGCAATAAACAACTTCTTCAATTATTGTTTTAACCTCAAATAGTTCTTAGAAACATTTAGTATGTTAGGTAACCATTATTTCTCTGGCTAGTGTGTGGATATTAACTAGACGAAATGGGACAGTATATCATTTGCTATGATACAGAATTCATTGCGATATCAATAAAATGAAGTGGTTAGAATTGACCATTGTTTTTATTTTAATGTTGTTTTTTAATTTACGTTACTAAAGTAATCAAAGTACATAAGTACTACATTAATCTTGAGATCACCTCTACAATTTTGATAGCCCAACACATGTTTTAAAAATCCAGAGAATTGACTGACCTGCATTTGTAGAGTTAGACAGTTAATCCATGGGGTTGTGCAGTTTATAAGTAACTCAGGATGTTTATTTATAACTAAGAAGCCTTGATTCTCATGAACTACACGCAGGTCATTTATGCGAATCCAACAGTCTCTTTTTCTACGCAGGATTTGATATAATATTATTATATTCCAAACGACAAGAACATAAATTCTAAGAAGAAAAACTCCAACTTCTGAAACAATATTGGATATCGCCATTTCTATCTGGAATAGTTACACCCTTCATTTAGTGCAGCTTATAAACGTGATACCACATGATTACAGGACAGATGAATCTAAAACAAAATAACCAAAGCAGTAAATTTAAATACACAGAATATCTAGTGAAACGTTCAAAATTGGTATCATTATGTAGGTTAAGGAAACTTAGAATAACAAACCGAAACGGCGTTGAATACAAGGGTAAGACTCAGTCAATCAACAACGTAGAATTTCGTACGTAAGTACATCAGTTCGAGTTGCCATACCATATTAGCACAGAGATACAATTGTCGATTAAAATCCCGTGGTGGTAGAGATAGCAAAAATATAAGCAGTAATCGGAAACATTCGAGTTGTGTTATTTAAGGAATATAATCGAGGGGAAAAAAGGAACATGAAGGATAGAATTTGGGAGAACACAAATAGTGGACGCACCTGCGCCACTGCAAACGATTTTGAGCCATGTCATTCAAGGTCTATAACCATCGGTCGCTATTGTCTCGTGGATCGCAACCAGGTATCCTACACCTACCAACATGGCTCAGTCCACTAGTCAGTGACTTCATGGATTTGTACCCTCTTACAAGGGTAAAACTAAAAAGTGAACCTAAGAAATAGGCAAAACGAGTCCAGTTGTTAGTGGTTTACTAAGCAAACCCATCTTCTCTGATCATTTACAATTACATGTCAAATGTGGTATATGAGTACATTATAACGAATGAATGAGTCTAAAGAATTGATGCGGGTAGCAGAAAATAATCGTTTTATTGTTGAACCTTTACAACAACTCAGTAGGCGCATAAAATAGATTTACATCGAATAAGTAACCTGGGGACAATAAGCCTCAGTAACACAAGCGTATAGTTACGACAAATCGGTAGACAAGATTAGTAGTTTACAGAGTATTGACGTTTAGCTTTTGTTATATTTGCGTCTAGAATAATGGTACCTAGTGCAATGTGGAAGCGTGAGGAGCAGTATGTGAGAGAAAAAGTGGAGACTACAATTTGTGGATGACTTTAGGACGAATCCCAGGTAGCCTTGAAAAATTCCAGCAAGTCAGAAAAAATTTGGCTTGCCGTAAGAACAAATCATACGAAACCCGAAAATCAGAACGGACATTTCCTGAAATGGTTTCGAAATTTTTCACGGTTAGGAAAAAGCTCTGCAGTTCTGACCCTCCATTGCATAGGTTAAAGAACTCATTTGTGCGAATTCGTAACAGTCGACATTTGGGGCCATGATATGATCGCGAAAATTCTTCTAGCTTCGACTATATTGGTTCTGTACATTGGTTTGTACTCCCGTGGTTTGGCTTACAGAATGTCGCCTATGAACAATTCGAAGCATGTAAGCAACTATTAGACAGACATCGATATGCCCATCATTCGTCTGTGTACTTTGTGGTATCCATGTGCACATACTCCCGTAAAATGGGAATAATCGTAGTAGCGTTACTGATGGTCTTAGTATCCAGTTTTAAGTTACCATAACTCGTCTTAGTGTCAGACAAGTTCGAGTGAATAAAGGCCACCGTACTAGCAGATCTTACCCAGCAACAGATATTACATCGGAACACAACATTTTCGCGATAGTCTACACAATATCTAGCAGTTACTTAATTACCGCAGTTATAAGTAAATGAGCTTCTAAGTGATCTCATTTATTGTTGATGCCCAATTATAACGTCTCCATGAAATTAGCTGTAAACCGACCGTACACAACCGTTGTTTATTCATATAGGCACCGTGGACGAAAAAATAAACTAGACAAAAAAGTAAGTACACAAGATACACTTACATCTAATGACGATAACAAATGATGAAAACTCTAAATAACGCAAGAGTGAGATTCAGGCAATGTTATAACTGAAATTAGCAGTTGGCAATGTACGGCTTCAAATTACTGCAGACATGAGTTCCCATATAACAACGGGTTAGCGTTAACCTTCAAACAAACGCCTTCGAGCCAGCCACATACGTTAGAATGAATTTGCATGTAACAATAACCATTCCAAAATATTCGTGTGTATATATTAACTTATAAATATGACATCTGCCCCTTTTCGAAATCGTTTTGTAGAACGTCTGACTTGAAATGATTCGTTACATTCTTGTGGATCAATCCATTCAAATGGTTCAAATGGGGCACCAAGACTCCTAAATCTTTTTCGACTTGGGATACTACTAGAGAGGAGTTTCCTAAGTTGTAACTGTAGTTTGCGACATGTCGCAGATGGACTACTTTACACTTTGAAGTGTTAAAGGTAAGTCCGTTATCGTCTGCCCAACTTTGAAGTCGAGTCAGATCCTCTTGAAGTGCCTGTATATCGTCTTGGTTGCGTATCTCTCTCCAAAGTTTCACGTCGTCGGCAAAAAGTAGTAAGTCTGATGTTACCTGTTGAGGAAGATCATTTATGTAGATCAAGAAGAGAAGAGGCCCTAGTACTGAGCCCTGGGGGACCCCACTAGGTCGGTTATTGGATTTACGATTCACAGAAGTGAAGATAGGAGGTTGACTGGATCGTTTTAGTTATCTAAATATGTTACTGGGAAGAACATACTTGATTTTAAAACCATCAACAGAAGTTGCTGCCACTACGTGTTCTAATAGAGTACCAGTAAGGACACCCTGGAGCGTATCCAACGGCGAGCCACGAAATCAGTTCGAGGACTCAAAATTAAACCTTACGAAGAGCGCCTCCATTCACTTAACCTTTACCCATTAGAGTATAGACGTCTTAGAGGTGACCTTCTGATGGCTTATAGTATTCTTAACACTCCTGGACATCCTCTCAAACACCTACTTAAGCTTAGTTCCAACACTAACCTAAGAGGTAACACCCAAAAACTGGAGACACAACATAGCAGAACGGTCTGTAGACACAACTTCTACTCCTTAAGAGTTGTCAAATGCTGGAATTCGCTGCCGGCCGAGCTAGTCCAAGCGACTTCTCAGGAGTCCTTCAAGAGGCAACTTGACCTATTCTTAAGGACCAAGGACAGCATCACACTATGATTTACCAATTTCTTTTCCTCTTTTATTGTTAACATACCTAGGTTCCTGCCTGGAGGATTTGGTGATCCCTTGCTACTAGACACAAAAGTCTGTTAAGTGAAAGCTTCTTCTATTCCGTCCACAACCATTTGAACCATCTTAATTTACTACATGATGCACGAAACGAAACTATGGATGTAAGTAACTTTACCTCAGTTTTCGATCTTCATGGCAGCGTTTCTCCAAATCTTATGTTCTGGATTGGCAAAAATAGGTATATTAACACCGAAATAATTATTCAATATCCAGCAAGTCAGTAATAGGCAACCTTATAGATTACCAAAGTAGATGATCTGTGTCGAATGAGTTAGGGCCTACGCGAGTTAAACGGAAATGTTGTGAACAACAAGTTAACGTCAGATTTACACCTCACGGCTTTTCCCTATGTTGGATCTCCTTTCCGTCGTATCCAGATACCATGATTACTTTGATGACCGTATAACACAAACGATGTTATCACAGGAATATGTTGGTAAGAGTAGGTACAAGGAATAGAATACTATCATCACAAATGAGTCCGTCACTCCATGGCGTTTAATAAACTGTTGCGCTTTGCTTGTTCTTGATTTCGACGGCTAATTTCATAGAGACGTTATAATTGGGCATCAACAATAAATGAGATCACTTAGAAGCTCATTTACTTATAACTGCGGTAATTAAGTAACTGCTAGATATTGTGTAGACTATCGCGAAAATGTTGTGTCCCGATGTAATATCTGTTGCTGGGTAAAATCTGCTAGTATACGATAATACAATAACTGATGATCACTAGTAGAAAAAACTATTAGATTTCGACATAGCTTAATCATTTCAGATCATGTAGAGAATTTACTAAAATAGTTTTGTGTTCAACCAATCATTGCGTAATCATAGGAACTTTTAGTGGCCCACTATCTGACTCCCGTAATATCGTATGGATGATTGTTATTGGTAATATACATTCTGATTATTCTCGTATATAATTATCAACTTAGATCGCATTAGTCAATAACGGAATTAAATAAGTCAAATACGAGGATAGATTTTGAATATGTAGATTTCATGCATTTATTGATTTGGACAGGCAATCAGAGAATGAAGCGAAGAAAGCGAAACGAAATGACGCGCACTGGAAAAAGCCTGTGAGCCAACTCCCTTTAGTCAGGCGTAATCAATGTTTATATTCACACAAAAATAAGTTACAGACATGCCATGAATAGGATAAGAAATGTACACACATATGTGGGCTTAACATATCAACCGACACTACAAATTTTAAATGAGATGTTCGGTTTAACATATCAGAATATATCGACTTATAGCACCTCTTCTACAATTAAGTTTGTTTACAGTTAATTTTGTAAAACCCTTCAATCCAGTTATTTAACAATGTTATTAGAACAGTAACAATTTGTCTGTTTCTTTGTCTTATTATGTTTATTGTTACTTCTGCATAAACATGTATGCTTGATCACATGTGACAACCTGCGCACATATCTCTTTATCTAAAATGTTAGTTGCTCAAATATGAATATCATCCCATTTTCCAATATTTTTTACTGGTGACTTTTTAGGTTGGATCAATGAAGTTTGCAAATCAAGTATGGTAGTTCCCCAACGAAGACAATGAGAGATGCTTGCTCAACGTTTTGGATTGGTTGAAGTTAGAAACTAACACTATTGCATCCCAACTCATTGGTCTAGATATCTTTTCGCGCGCGAGACCCAAGGTCTTGGGTTAGAATCCCGCGAGCGGGATCGTGGATGCGCACTTCTGAGGAGTTTCACAATAGGACGAAACGGTCGTTCAGTGCTTCCAGGTTTCCAACGGTGGTCTAACATCAATCAGTTCATGATCTCAATCAAAAAGTTTTCATTCCGTTTCGTCCAATGAAATGGCTAGTTTTAAATTCGTTATAATTGGTCACTTATTTCTTAAAAATGATACAAAATGTCAGGAC